AATTGCCTAAAAATTAATTTTTTATTCCCCAAAACCCCACTTCTTAGTAAAACTTGAATAGATTGATACTTCCTTAGCATGGTAAAATGTTTTTATCACAACTCAAAGTCTGCTATTATGCTTAATGGAGAACTACATTCCCATGAAAGTCAGGAACAAGACAACATGTCCACTGGTTATATTACTGTTTATCAGGGCCGTAAGGTTATTAATCAAGAAAAAAGTACAGATATAAAAATGAGAAAGAAGGGTTAGAATTATTCTCATTTATAAATGACTTGCATGCTTATAATGCAAAATCTAGGAGAATAAGTTGAAAACTATTCTAAACAACAGGGCATATAAAAATATATCTATGTGAATATTTAACTTCCTGGGATATATAGATTCCTTTATCATTACCAAAAGTTAATATTTCTTTTTTAAAAAGATTTATTTATTTATTGGAAAATCAGATATACAGAGAGGAGAGACAGAGAGGAAGATCTTCTGTCTGATGATTCACTCCCCAAGTGAGTGCAACGGCTGGTGCTATGCCAGGATCCAAGAACTTCTACCGGGTATCCCACATGGGTGTAGGGTTCCAAGGCTTTGGGCCGTCCTTGACTGCTTTCCCAGGCCACAAGCAGAGAGCTGGATGGGAAGTGGAGCTGCCAGGATTAGAACTGGTGCCCATATGGGATCCCAAGGCGTTCAAGGCGAGGACTTTAGCTGCTAGGCCACACCGCCGGGCCCCAAAAGTTAATATTTCTAAAAGTGAATCACAAAACATGATACTTTCAAGTTACTACTAAGAGACTTGTAAGTCTTCTTGAGGGCCTAGCATGATAACCTATTGGCTGAAGTCCTTGTCTTGCATGTGCTGGAATCCAATATGTGTGCCAGCTTGTGTCCCACCAGACCTGCTTCCCATCCAGCTCCTTGCTTGAGGCCTGGGAAAGCAGTGGAGGATGACCCAAAGCCTTGGGACCCTGCACCAGCATGGGAGACTTGGAAGAAGCTCCTGGCTCTGGCTTTGGGTCAGCTCAGCACCAACCGTTGCGACCACTTTGGGCGTGAACCAGTAGACAGAAGATCTTTGTCTCTCCTCCTCTCAGTATATCTGACTTTCCAATAAAAATAAATAAGTTTTTTTAAAAAAAAGATCTTGAGCTAATATGACAAAGGGATTTTAGGTGGAAGATAATATTTACAAGAAATCAATTTTCCGTGAGTTTATAAAATTAACACCACCCCAGTGAGAACACTAACAGAGTATCTTGGAATCTGACAAGGTGATTTGAAATCTCATGTAGTAAAATGAACCAGTAAGAACAGCCAAGCACACTCTGAAGCCCTAGCAGATTCGAAAATATGTGAATGAGCCAGCCACCATCTTCCAGGCCCTGTTGCCACTGTCCCTCTGTTTTTGTCCCTCGACCTCACTGCCCATTCTCTCAGATCTTGGCCCAGCAGGTTGTACTCCTGCCATGGGGCTCATACACAGGCTTTTGCATACTTGAACGCTATAAGCTGCTCTTACTGTAGTCATCTCTAGTCTGTTCAATTCCTGTTTAATCACTGCTTTTTAGGGATCTCTTTCTACCTCCCCAATGTTGAGTCAGTTTCCTTTGTCAGCTGCTTTTTTTCCCCTTTCCAAGCATTTGTTTCAGTTTGTAGTTATGTAGACATAAAGGGCGTTGTTTGCTGAGTGCTGCTCGCGTCACTCCAAGGCAAGCTTAGGGTCTGGTCCAGGTAAGATGTTAGTGTTTACTGGTAGGTGAGCAGTCTCCGTTCTGTTGGAATGGGAGGATTGCTGGGTATCTAGCAACTGACTTCTAAACTCAGGAGCTCCGAGTTTTCCCAGCATAGGCCCTGCTATAATGACAAGGTCCTGATGCCTTAACTCGTAGTTTGTTTCATCCATGAACGTTTGAAGCTGAAGTGCTTTTGGCACTGTTCTGCAATAGATTTTTTTTGTTTGTTTGCTTTTTTTAATGTATATATATATATATTTATTATATTTTTGACAATCTTTACATAGTTAATTAGGGTAAAAAGGTTCAAGGGCTACAGGAAAGTGGATAAGACTATCCTTTCCATATTGTTTCCTTCATGTTTAAAGGGGGTTATTAAGGGAGAAACGCCACCCAATTTTCCACCCTCCCCAGGTCCTGGATGTAGGGTATGCTCCGAGGTTCTTGCTCAAGTGGTTTTGATAGTTCAACAGTTATGAATCGCTGCCAGTCTTGCCACTCCAAGCACTATGAGGTCTTTGAAGAATCCACTGATGGACATAGTCCATCATAGAGTCTCCGTTTGCCCTGTATTTCGCTGCCAACATATAGCTGATATGGCTGATTGACCTGTTTTGTCTTCTCTCTTTTCTTTGTTAGCGTTCTGAATCCAGCATTTCAATTGGGGAGATCTCCAAAGAAACTTTGTCTGAGGTGTTCTCAGACCAGATTCTTGAATGTACTAGCAAGTACTGGCACAGTCCATCACCCTGATCAGATGGTGGTTGCAATTGCTGGGTTGGTCCTGTTTCCAGCCCTGACTTCCACTGGAACCAATGGGTGTTGCAGTCCAGCCTGGTTCTGCGTAGCACATACTCGGCCCTCACATAAACCAGTGGGAGCTGCAGCCTAGTCGGAGTGACCTGCAATAACCGCCCCTCCCCCCCGCCAGGCCTGCCCCCTACCCTGGTTTGCCAGTATGTGTAGCAGTAGTCCAGCCTGTCCCACACCCCGTTCCATCCCTGCCCCTGTCCTAGTTTTCGTGCCCACCTGTGGAAGTGGTAACTCAAGAGTGAGAAGCCTACTATTTCCCTCCCAGGCCTTTCCCACTCCTGGATTGTGCTCTCTCCAGGTAGTTCTGTGGTTTGACTTGACAGAACTAGGCCCCAGTGCCAGCTTCTGCGAGCTAATGCTGTGGCTAAGCCCAAACAACTCTCACCCACTCTAATTTTGTTCTGCAGTAGATTGTAACCTCTTAAAGTAAAGGGCATTTTGAGCTCTCATGTTTGGTTCTTAACATTGTGTTCAATGGAGACTTCTCTTTTTCATACAAGGGGTAATATAATGAAGGTATTGTTACTGGAGATGGCTGGAGTATAACATGCTTTCCATAAAAAATATGGCAAGGTTTTATCAGGTAGTACATATGTCAGGATGAATTGGCATCTGTTCAGATTGATCTGCTACAGAGGATGCCCAGCTTTTATTGAGATTACGTTCCAGTTCCTTCAGCCATTTCTCCCTCACCCAATCTTCTCTCCTGGACAGAAGGCTGTGAAATTCCTCCTAAGGTTTGGTTTCCCAGTGTCATCAGACCGTGTAGCCTGCTTGGCAGAGAGGCTTCTGCTAGGTTGCTTTCTTTGGCAGGGAAGATTGGGACCTCCTATAAAGTTACTGGGGCATGGGCAGGACTTGGCAGTGCAGTGTCAGATTCTGCACTGCTTCCACGGCTACAGGTGTTGTTTACCTCTGGTCCCTTCCACACACAAAGGCTAATTTTTGTCTTTTTACCTAGCAGCATGCCTCCATAATTTCCTAAAAAATGGTATTAGTCATTTAAAGGAAGAATTATAGCCATTGAAGAACTTAATTTCCTAGTAAGTTTTATGATGCACCCCACAAACACTGGCATTCAGTCCTGTGCCAAGTGAAATGTGTCTCCACATGGCCTCCTTTGGGCACCATAGCTGTGGTAGTTAGGATAACCAGGACTGCTGCATATTGAAGAGGATGTGGTATTCCAGTAAGGGAGTCAGTTAAACTTCTTCCACTTTCTCCCAGGAGCACATACTCACCATCTCCTTGGATGTGTTGTGAACAGCAAACACTAGCAGTTGCTATGTGCCCTGAGGTTTTGTTAAGGCATTTTTTTTTGTGATTGGAACATACTATGACAAAGCATGTTGTCAAGTTAAGGGCTTTTAAGATGATGTTTGCATTCATGAGCATCTCAAACAGTAGCTCTTGGCAGTTGAGTCCCTCTAAGGGTCATAAACCAGTTTTACTGACATGTTCCCTGAAGCCAGGGAGCAGTTCCCAGAAATCTACCTTTATGTGACCTCTTGCATAATCCACCAAAAAGTGAATGGCTTCCTCATTTGTTTTTCACAAAGACTCCTTGCCTGGATATTTGTAGATGTGACTGTGGGATATTTGTTCAAGCAATGAAGTAATTCTAGAAGGAGGTAGGCATGTAACCCACACAACACAGAAACAAGTAGAAGTTGCACATAGCAACCTCCAGCTCAACCCACCAAACCTGCTCTGCAAATGTGTTTATTTGACTCGCATAGTATTTCTTTATAAAACTTTTAAATTTGTTCATAAGTTATAAAAACTGGGATTTTTAAAACTTAAACCTGGGCAACTGACTTGTCTGAAAAATTTTGGAAGGCTTCAGCCTGACTGGGACACTTATTTTTCTGTGGGCAGGCATCCATGGAGTTGAGAGCTGTTCCCTTCAAGGTGGGCCAGTGACTGACCATGCATTTCCGTGTGGTCTCCAATCTCCTGTGTCCCTGTGGATTCCTCAGGAGGGGACGTGGGGTGGAGAAGAGGCACCATGGACCATCATGAAGGAGACAGCCTTTTGCATTTAAATTCATGTGAACCTTTGATAAGCAAAGAAGACGCTGTACTCAACAGATAAGAGTTCATCTATGTAGTCTGTAAACAGACAAAGAAAGTGGTTTCTTCCTTACGTAGGATGTAGTTCTTTGCAAACTTTCTCTGTCCTGGGAAGAAATTAAATAGCCTCTGAGTTGGGTGGAAAGAAAGTTAAATGCTAAATCCCACCATCATTCTGAAGGAGTACATGGTGTTGTTCCTGGGCTAGTTTTGAATTTTGAAAATGAAAACAAAATGATCTGAAAGCAACACATTTTGGATAGCATTTTCCATCTCACTGGGATATAAAGATGAGTTCTTTCACATCTTACTTCGCACAGCTTCATGGTAAAGACTGTTTAACATTCATATATATATGTATATTTGAACCTCTACCAGGAAACTTATGATCATCTTTTGGAAGTCCCGGTCACTCGGGAGCAGTTAAACCACTACCGGAATGTGGCGGAAAACGCTCGAAGCGACCTTGCGGCAACTTTGGTCAAGTTTGAATGTGCTCAGTGTGAGGTAAGTTATGCATGCCCTTGACTCAGAAAGTACCTTCCCAGCTTCTTGGGAACTTAAGCAGCACAAACACAATTAGAAATAGGATGGTAAGATGAAGATTTATGGTTTTTAAAAAAGATTTATTTTATCTATTTGAGTGACAGAATTACAGAAAGAGGGAGATCTGAGGGTGAGGTGGGAGGGTAGGTGTGGAGATACAGAGAGAAAAAGAGGGAGGGAGAAAGAGATTCCACACCTCAATTTTCTCCCCAAATGGCTGTAATAGCTGGGGCTAGGTCAGGCTGCAGCCAGGAGCTAGGAGTTCTATCTGAGGCTGCCACTTGGGTACAGGGGCCAATGTATGTGGGCCATCTTCCATGGCTTTCCCAGGTGCATTGGCAGGGAGATAGATCAAAAATGGAGCAGTTGAATCATTGCCCCTCAGGGATGCTGGCACAGTAGGCAGTGGCTTGACCCATTGTGACCCAGTACCTGCCCTAAAACTAATGTTTATTCTCTCAGACTGTATCCATTCCCTAGAATTCTTAAAGGGTTTCTGGTGGTGGGGAACATCTGGCCTGGGGCTATATAAATTCTGAAAAATCATTTGGTCTGGCTCACTGGGACTCGACATTCAATAATCTATAGCAGGCTAACTTTTAAGTTGATAACTTATTGTGCTGAAAATGAGGTGGTAGATATCCAGTTGTCTCTTGGGAGGAAAAGAAGTGTTCCCCCATATGTGGATGCCATGCATCACGGCAGAGTGTCTGGACTAGTGCCTAGATCTCAGGGGAGCTCAGGAATCATGAGAGGTTTGGGTCATTTGGTGGCTTTTGATTGTAGCTCATGTGTCTTGGATAATTTTTTTTAAAGATTTATTTTATTTTTCATTGCAAAGTCAGATAAACAGAGAGGAGGAGAGACAGAGAGGAAGATCTTCTGTCTGATGGTTCACTCCCCAAGCAGCTGCAATGGCTGGAGCTGAGCCAATCCAAAGTCAGGAGCAGCTTTCAGGTCTCCCATGCGGGTGGAGAGTCCCAAAGCTTTGGGCCATCCTCGACTGCTTTCCCAGGCCACAAGCAGGGAGCTGGATGGCAAGTGGAGCAGCTGGGGCATGAATTGGCATCCATTTGGGATCCTGGCAGTTGCAAGATGAGGAGTTAGCTACTGAGCCATTGCACTGGGCCTGAGGCATGCGTATCTTTTAAAAAATTTGTTTATTTTTCTATTGGAAAGGCAGATGTTACAGAGAGAAGGAGAGGCAGAGAGAAAGATCCTCCATCTGCTGGTTCATTCCCCAAGTGGACACAATGGTAACAGCTGAGCTGATCCGAAGTCAGGAGCCTGGAGCTTCCTCTGAGTCTCCCATACTGGTTCAGGGTGCCAGAGCCTTGGGCTATCCTTGACTGCTTTTCCAGGCCACAAGCAGGGAGCTTGATGGGAAGTGGAGCAGCTGGGACATGAACTGCTATCCATATGGGATCTTGGCAGTTGCAAGGCAAGGATTTAGACACTAAGCCACTGCATTGGGTCTGATACGTGGGCATCTTGAAAAATTTTTTTTATTTTGATAATCTTTACATAGTTTATTAGGGCTAAAAGGGTCCTTCCTATATCTGGGGGAAGATGGGGAGACAAAGGGAGAAGTCACACCCACCTTCCCAACCATCCCAGGGTCCCGATTAGGCGCATGCTCTGAGGGCACTGCTGAAGTGATTTTGACAGTTCAGTGGTTCTAAATTGCTGCCAACCTCATCATTCCAAATACGACGAAATCTCTCCAGAATCCGCTTGTTGGCATGGTTCACCTTAGCATCTTTACTTGCCCAGATTTCCACTGTCAACACTTGGCTGGGGTAGTTGATCAATTTGTTCTGCCTCTATTCTGGTACCAGGTGTCCTATGCAAGTTCCAATGTACTGCCATATCCTCCATGTGCACCTGAATATGCTGTGCACTGCTCTGTATGAGCCTCTGAGGAGGTTCTGCTTTGACACATGCACTCCAAAGTCAGACCATGGAACCTACATTTCTCTTCATGGCTAGGGTTCTGAGTCCAGCAATTCAGTTGGGGGATCCCCAAAGAAACTTCATCTGAGGTGATCCCAGACCAGATTCTTGTGTGTGCTTGACAATACAGGGTTTGGCACAGACCGTCACCCCAATCAGTTTATGCACACACTGGTGGTTGTAATGACTGGATCCGTTCTGCCTCCAGCCCTGTCTTTTACACAAAACAATCGGTGTTGTAGCCCACCCCGATCCTGCCACCACACACTTGGCCCTTACACAAAACAGTGGGAGTTATAGCTTAGTGGGAGCAACCTGCAATATCCCCATGAGGCCTGCCACATGTCCTGGTTCCTGTGCTTGACAAGTATGTACAGCAGACTGGTCCAGTCTGTCTTACATCGCATTCAGCTATCATGCATGTCACTGGGCATTGAAGCCCCATGATCTGGCCCACAAATGTGCTGGTGGGTGTCATTTTCTGTCTTGCCATGCTTGCCCTAGTCCTGGTTTTCATGCTCACCAGATAGAATTGCAACCCAAGAGGGAGGTGCCCAGTATTTTCCTAGTGGGCATATTCCCCCTCCCAAATCATGCACTCTCCAGCTGGTTCTGCAGTTTGGCTTGACAGAATTAGCCCCAGTGCCAGCATCTGCTAGCTGATGCTGTGGCAGAGCCCAACCAACCCACACCCACTCTGATTTATGCCTGTACCAGTAGGAATAGTCAACCCAGCTCTGCTTTTCCCTGGTCCAGCTCACATGGGACCAACAGCTGTTGTAGTTCTGCCTGGTCTGGTATGTCCCCATCTCTACTCATGCTCTCCAGTGGAAATGGTGATCCAACAGGAGAATCCCATGTAGCCCCTCTACTGGCTTTGCTCCTTTCCTGCCTGAGCCCCTTCCTGGTTCTTGCATGTGCTGGTTAAGTGCCGCTGTAGGTCTGGCATGGCTTGCATCACCTTGGCTTGTGCCAAGGGTGCTTAACCTGGCTCAGGCTAGTGGTGGTTCAGGCTGGTGGAGGTTTCTGCTCTTGCCAGTGAGCTAAGGTTGGCTTGGCCCTGCCCAGTCTGCCCCTTTCCAAAACCATCCCACACATTAGCTAAGAGGTGGAATTACTCTGCTAGGCTGCCCAACATCCAGGCCTGGAACATGTGCTCACCAGCAGGAGTTATGACCCCAATACGGGAGCTTCCCAGCTTCCCCCACTTGGTACCCTCCCTGACCCAGATCTCACATGTGCCAGCACGTGCTAGGCCCTTGCCTGGCTTAGCCTGCCCCTCCATCTTGGCCTTTGTATGAGTTGGAGGATGTTGTGCCCTGGCCCGTCTCATACCCTGTTTTAGGGTGTATGTGCGGGTACTTCAGCGTGGACCTGCGCAGCCTGTTTCCAGCCCCGGCACCCATGAGTGTTGGTGGTTTCCATGGTCACTCCTAGCTACTCAGCCAACCACCACCCCAACTCTTAAGCTAACCAGCAGGACTTGTATTTCCACAGGGCTGGGCCCACTTATGTTCTGCAGAATCTACCCCCAGAAATGATTGTCTCACGTGCTGGTTAGTGTCATACCCTACCTAATTGATGTAACCCATCCCCTATTCTGATACTCAGTCAGGTAACTGGGATCCAGTCCTGCTAGATAGGACCTCAGCCATAGCTGGCTGGCTATATGGCTGGTGTGTGGTGGTCAGCAATGTTCTGGGCTAACAGCCCATCTCAGCACTCCCATGTGGGCTGGTGAATCAGTCTGACCCACACAGATCTTCTGGACTCTCTCCTCCAAACCACCAGGTCTCATTCCCCTCACTTACCTGCAAGTACAGTGGCCACGATGCTGGGGATCACATAGGATTCATTCCTCACCTACATGCACAGTGGGCTTATTCATGGATATCCCTAGGCAGCAATTACATATCCCAAAGTCCCTAGAGCTTGCTGCCAGTCAGCCAGTGGGTGGAGCCTTTCTCCACTTGGCACGCTGGCCACCCAAATCCCAGGACTAGCTCACTGCTTGACAGTGGTGGTCGTGACCAGGGCCCCAAGCATTGAGTTCGACCTGGCTCAGGTACCCCCAGCAGCTACCATGCTGCTGGAGTCTCCCACTGAGCATGGCACAGGCCTTGGCTCCATCTCTACTTCCAGCATGGCTTGCCGGGAGGAGACCGTTTCAGGGTGCTGGGGAGGAAGGGACATGTTGGGGGCGGGAGTGAGTGCGCATGCATGCTAAGGTCTTCAGCTTCTCCACCAGTGCTGGTCTTCCTCGTCATGGGAGTACCAGTCCCCGTCTATGACAACATGGGGCTTGGCGTGCTGTACCCCCTCCAGCAGCTTTTGCGTCTGCTCGGGGTATTGCTCTTTGCACAGCCCGATGACCCACATCTTGGAGGTGGGGCAGGTGAAGGTGGAGCCTAGCTTCTTCACTCCCTACGGGCAGAAGTGGTTCTGCAGCAGACTGAGGCTGATGAGCCGCTGGTTGTACGACAAGGCCAGCACCAGGGTCTTGCAGCAGTCCGAAGTCAGCTGGCAGGCCTCCAACCCGAGTCTCTACAGGGCAGTGGTTCGTTGCTTCAGCCCCTCGCACAGCGCTGCCACCCGACTGTCCCCCAGGGCGTTGCTGCGGAGATCCAGGCTCCTCAGGTATTTGCTTCTCATGATCATATGGGACAGGCTCTCGCAGCAAGCCATGGTGAGCTGGCAGCCTGCCACCTCCAGGTCCTGCAGGTGGCAAGACAGTTCACGCATGACCTCGTACAGCAGCTTAATCCCACTGTCTCCCAAGGGGTTCTGGCTGAGACTCAGGTGTGTCAGCTGCCTGTTGTCTCCTTTGGTTGAACTCCCCTTAGCCCCTCCCACCACAAAGACATAGGCATATTAACTGGTGTTTAATTCAGGCCAAAGATATGCCCCTAAAATTACCTTTTGATGCACTTCTCACTAATGTTTTGAAGAACCCTTTTACATTGTTCAGCATTCTGATGCTATGGAATTCATAACAGTTAATATGTGTAAATTCTGCAAGTATTTTTCCTTTTTTTCCCCATTTCTTTCTTAGAAGTATAAATATATGTTTTTTTTCTTTGTCACTCATAATTATGGTCCAGAAGGTCAATGGAAGAAGCTTAATGTTTCCCTGGGTAGTGTGGATTTCCTTAGGAAACAGTTGTGGCCATGACTCACAAGCAGTATTTGTAGGTTCCTTGTTGATCAGCAACAATACAGATTTAGAAGATGAGTAGGCACTGTAAAATATTTGCTTCTTGTAATATTCACAGCAAATATGAGTGAGACTGCATCAACCTCCCATTGCTTCATTGGTTTTCATATTCAGACTGAGTATGCGCTGTAGGACACACATCGTGATACAGTGGGCTAAGCTGCTGTGTAACATCCGGCTTCGAAAGGTCGCAGCCCCTCTGCTTCGGATCCAGCTCCCTGCTCATGCATGCTGAGGGGCAGCAGGGGACGGCTCGTGTGCCGGCTCCTGCCTCCCACGGGAGACACCTGTGTGCAGTTCCTTGCTCCTGGCTGTGGGCTGGTCCTAGCCCCCGTTGTTGGATTAGACTTGTGAAATGAAGCAGTGGATGAAAGATATGTCTGTGTGTCTCCGCTTTTTAAGTAGGTGAAAATGAAATAAAAATGAACATTAAAAATATGAACTGTATTATTTGGCATAATCCCCCACTTGTTCATACAGGCACAAATATGAAAAAGAAAATACTGTTGGATTAAGTCATGAAGGAAAGAGTGGAATTTTAAATTGTGCTTTTGAGATTCTTAAAGGTACTGCAGACATGCACTGTTGCATCACTTTCCTGTTTTCCCTCATTGCCTGTTAGCTCCGGGATCTCCGCTCCAAGATGCTTTCTAGAGAAGTTTCCTTTCAAGAGCTCAAAGCTGAAATGGAGAGCTATAAAGAAAACAACGCCAGAAAAACATCCCTCCTCACTTCTTTGAGAGACAGAACGCAGGAGCTGGAGGAAGAATCTGTTGCACTTGCCGTGTCTAAAACTAAAGCAGAAATCATGGCTCAGGCCACAGCAAAGGAGAACCAGGAACTCAGGAAGAAAGCTGTGCAACTCGATGAGAAGTTACAGTAAGCATATGGCAGTATAACTCCCCCCCATCCCCAATACAGATCTATAAGCATAAGGGATCAACTCTCCTTCCTCTTTATCTCCCACTTCCATTATTTGTCACCAAGTTAATTACAATGCCATAGTCATTCATTTCACAACACACAGAACTGTGCTAAGTGGAGGTAGCTTAGGGATACAGAATTTTGTAATGAGTTGGGAAGAGTCATTCTAAGTGGCAGGCAAGTACATAGAAGGAGGTATGCATTCAGGAGCAAGTTCTAGAATTAATCTAGAAGCAGGACACTGTAAAGTGCTCCCAAAACTTCCTGTGGGATTTTATTACCAGTTTATGCAAGCCTAGGTTTTCTACACTTATTTTTCAGAGTTTGCATAGGATAATTGTGCATATAGAGGATACAGTGTGACATTTCAGTATGAGTAGGCGATGTGCAGTGACCACATCAGTGGCACTTCCGTCACCCTAGACTTACTTCTAACTTACTTCTTTGTGTATCTTCTTTGTGTTCATACTTAGTTCTGGTGAATGCTATTTCCTGAGATAAAACTGGGAGCTAGGTGCTTCTAAAATATAGATTTTGAAAAGATTTATTTGAAAGGCAGAATTACAGAGAGAAGGAGCGACAGAGAAAGAGGTCTTTCATCCCCTGATTCGCTCTCCAGATATACCAACACGCCTGAACATTTTTGCACTTGCTATTTCTAGTTCTTCTCTCTGGATTCCAGGAAATCATTCGTGATCTTCATCAGTGGGCACACAGTGCCAGTTAGATGTCTGCCCTGTGACCTGCATCAGTTATGGTTGAGCCCTCTCCCCGAGCCACTTTCTTCTCCAGGCCTCCAGGACGCTGCCTGTGCCCTTAACATACCCTTTGAGCTATTCTCCTTTGCTCTTCTTCAGTTTCTTAACTGCAACTGTTGGAGTGCTTCAGGGCTAGGTTCTCAAAGCTTTTGTTTTTTTCTTTCTAAATCCTCTCCCATGGTACTCTCATTCAGTCTCCTGGCCTTCCATGCAATCTAAATGCTGACGACTCCCACATCAATGTGGCTGTCCCGAGCCTCGTTCGAGACATCAAGGCAACGTTTGTCTTATAGGCTATTTGGACATCTCTATGTGGACATACAATGAGTTTCAAGCTTAACATGTCTAAAACTGGTGCTTCTACAAAAATCTGTATACCTTCTCTCACTTAGATATAATTCCATTTTTTGGTGGATCAGTTCAGAACTCTTGATCTCTTCCTCTGCAAATCCCATCAAATTTTTCTTCAAATAATTCTGAATTTTGACTGCTTCCCATCGTCACAATTATTTCTGCTAATTTTGTCTAAATTACTAGCTCTTCTCACCTGATTTATTGCAATAGGTATAAGGAGGCTTCAAACCTTCTTGAAAGAGTTGTCTTATCTTTTAATTCCATTTCTTCTTGAATGATTAGAAACTCCTTTGTATGTGTTACAGCAACACCTCTGCTCCTGGTATCAACAGATCCCTGCTCCTGGTATCTTTTTTTTTTTTTGTCTTAGTTTGTGCTTTTCTTTTCTTTTTTTCCTAAAGATTTATTTATTCTTATTACAAAGTCAGATATACAGAGAGGAGGAGAGATAGAGAGGAAAATCTTCCATCCAATGATTCACTCCCCAAGTGAGTGCAATGGCCGGTGCTGTGCCAATCCGGAGCCAGGAGCCAGGAGCCAGGAACTTCTTTCAGGTCTCCTGCACGGGTGCAGGGTCCCAAAGCTTTGGGCTGTCTTCTACTGCTTTCCCAGGCCATAAGCAGGGAGCTGTATGGGAAGTAGAGCTGCCAGAATTAAAACTGGCGCCCATATGGGATCCTGGCACGTTCAAGGAGAGGACTTTAGCCACTAGGCCACGCCACCGGCCCCAGTTTGTGCTTTTCTTCACAAACATAATAACTGGGGGCTGGTGCCATAATGTATAAGGCTAAGCCTCTGCCTATGGTGTTGGCTTCTCATATAGGTGCCGGTTTGGGCCCAGCTGTTGTACTTATCTGGATTCCTGATAATGTATGTCGGAAAGCAGCAGAGGATAGCTCAAGTGTTTAGGCCCCTGCACCCATGTGGAAGACCCGGAAGAAGCTCCTGGCTCCCAGCTTCACAGCAGTCCAGCTGTGGCCATTACAGCAATAGGGAGTGAACCAGCAAATTCTCTCTCTCTCCTTCTCTCTGCAATTCTACCTTTCAAATGAAAAATAAATGAATGTTAAAAAAAAAAACACCCACAACAATGGGGTGACTTGGAGCAAATTAGATTCATTGTCCATAGTTCTGGAATCTGGGAAACTCACAATTAGTTTGCTGGCCAGCTTTGCTTCCTGGGAGGGCCCATTTCCAGGTCTCCAGGCAGCCGCCGTCTTGCTGCATCTGTGTGTGGTGGAGTGAGATCATCCCTCTTGTGCCTCTTCTGAGTACAGTGATGTCCTTCACAAGAGCTCTGCTGTCACAACCCACATACCTCCTCAAGTCCCCATCATGCGGGAGATTAAACCTTCAATATGTGTGAATTTTGATGGGGTGGGCACAAACGTTTGATCCATAGCAGTGGCTTTCTTGCTTCTGTCATCCCCTGCAGCCAGAGCGATTCTGTTCAAACAAAAATTAAATTGTGTTGTCTTTGGCACCAAGCCCTCCAGAGAGGTGTTTTCTTGATCTGAAGGGCTCTGCCCAACCTGGTTTTGCTGCCGTACCGTCCCTGATTCTTTCCATTCCAGCTCAGTGGCTTTTTTGCTGTCCCTTGAGCCTATGAAATGTGGTCCTACTTTATGATCCCGGCAGCCTCTGCCTGGAAGGGTCTCCCTGGACACTGCACAGCTGCCCCTGCTTCCTGTAGGTCTTCACTCGGGTTACTTCCTTCAGGCTGTTACCATGGCTTAGTAGGCTAACTTTCTGCCTGTGGCACTGGCATGCCATATGGGTGTTATTTCATGGCCTGGCTGCTACACTTCTAATCCAGCTCCCTGCTTCTGGCCTGGGAAAGCAATGGGAATATGACCCAAATCCTTGCGGCCTTGCCACCCACATGGGAGAAACTGGAGAAAACTCCTGGCTCCTGACATTAGCTTGGCCCTGACCTGGTTGTTGCGGCTGTTTGGTGAATGAAGCAGTGGATGGAAGATCTCTGCTTCGATCTTGTCCCCTCTCTCTTTTTCTCTAACTCTGCCTTTCAGTAAAATGCAATAAATCTTTAAAAAGAATAATAGGTATAATGCAAATTATAATGAGTATCCATATGTGTTCCTATTTTCACATTCATGTGATTACATACTAAGAGTAGATTCCTGGAACTTTGTTGAGTCAAGAGAAATGTGAACAGATGTGGATACATTGCAGGAGCCTTTGGAATGGATTCCTAAGCTTGAGATCTTGAGATTAATGTATGGGAACTTAATACGCAAGTCAGTTACCATTATGGCATAAACTATGCTTCGCCTGGGTCCAAAAGACTCAACAAATATTACTTTCCGTATGCTAAAAATAAAAACTCAGAGACATTGATGTTAGTCTTTTATTGTGGGACAGTTTTTCTAAATAGAAATATGATATGCTTTTGAGTATATGCAATTATATGCTTTGTTGATTTTGAATAGAGGGAAAAGATTTGTGATACACACTCAGCACAGTGAAACAGTAAAGCAATAATCATGCTTATTATCTAGTATATTGAAAAAATGATACTAAATTACTGACATGATTCTAATTGTCCTTTAAAATGTGAGTATTTTTTATCACCTCAGTTTTTTTTCTCATATAAAGCATTAGAAAAAGACCACATTATTTTAACAAAGTTTTCTGAGATCTGAAAGCATTCATAACAGATCTTCGATCTCCTGATTTTCTTTGGCAATTCTGATATTCTGATGCCCTTGAAAGATTCTGGCTGTGTGAAAGCTAACAAGGATTTGTGTGGATGATTGAACGCCCCTGTTTTGCAGAAGTGGGAAGCCCTGCTCCTGATGTGGTTCTTTATGGTGATATTGCCCATTCCTGATTGAGGTCCCTTATGGCTCATGTGTAACAAAGCCAAGCAAGCTCCCTTAAAGCTATGGAGCAGCACTGGCCTTCTCCAAAGGCCCATGTGAACCGTGACTACTTAGGGAAGTCACCTGTGTGCATACTAGAAGCCTCTACTCTGGAGTCCTAACAGTGAATTATAGGAGGCAGAGAGTCCATCTCCCTTCCTGTTATTGGGAATGGGCTACCAGGGGATTTTTCACATCTCTGCAAAGTGCAGCTGCCCTGGAACAGCTTCTACGACTCTCTGTCCTTTATAGGCTTGAGTGTGGCCTGGGAGGCTGTGCTGTGCTTGGACTCACATACATTAGTGATTTCCCCTAGACACCTTGAACTCTGGTTTGGTTTGCCCAAGGTTAGTTTCCGCTATGTTAAACCCTCCCTTGTTGTTATTTGCCTGATAGAAAGTGTTTGAAGGAAAATGAAGAGAATAAGGCCCAGACCTCAGAGAGCTGCAGGAAACATCAGGAATTTCTCACCCAGCTGCATGACTGCTTGGATCCAGACAAGAGGGATGAAAAGGCGTCGGATGAGGAAGTCATTTTGAAGGTGTTTGTGCACGTTAACAAGTGGTCATTCTGGGAGGTGACATGGCAGGAAGTGTTGCAGCCGCGACAGGGGGTGGCAGGGTTGCAGAACAGGAGGCCACATGTGTCACGGTGTTACCTAGCATAAGCCATGTCACCCCTCTGGGCCTCCATTCCAAGATACTTTCTAACATTTGTTGGTATAAATTGTCTCCCAAAGGGATTCATTATTTTGTCTAAGATATATTTGAGTTGTCTGATATAACCAATCATTCATTTCTATGATGTGTTTTAAGAGTTTTTTGTTTGTTTGTTTTTAGTTACCAACATAGGCACAGACAAAATCAGCTGAGTGTTGTTTTGGGTATTCCTAGTGTAAGGTTAAGGTGAATTTTAATTTAATTTACTCCTTAAATTCTACATGAAAACCAAATTGTAAACATCCTACCTAAATGGGAGAGTGCCATTGGGACAGAAAGTGTGATATCACCTGGAGAATCCATGTGGGATTCCTTGTGGCACTGGCAAGTATTTCTGAGCTCGGGTATCGTTGCTTTCTGAAAGATTTGCATGCAGCCATTATTTATGTATTTATTTATTTGAAAGGCAGATTCATAAAGAGAGAAAGATCTTCCGTCTGCTGATTCACTCCCTAAATGGCCACAGTGGTTGGAACTGAGCCGATCTGAAGCCAGCAGCCTGAAGTCAGGAGTTTCTTTCAGGTTTCCCACGTGGGTGCAGGGGACCAAGCACTTGGGACATTCATCCTCTACTTTCTCAGGCACTTTAGCAGGGCGCTGGATCAGCTGTGGATCATCCAGGACTAGAACCAGTATCCATGTGTGATGCCAGCATTGTGGGTGGCAACTTTACCAGCTATGTCAAAATGCTGGCCCCATCAGACAGTTGTTGCTAAAGGCTGCCTCTGTTTTGTAGGGTTCCACAATGCTCTCTCTGGAAGCTGCAGGAAGTAGTCCACTTCATTCATGGGTATTGACTGCTCTGTGCCCTCATGGGTACTGGGTACACACTGCCTTCCCTCCTCCCTGACTGTGGCTAACATATGACCAATGCTGTGGAAGTCCACACACCACAGTTTAAGGGGTTGAATTTCAAGGCAAGCCGCAGGGAAAAGAAAAGGGAATTCAGAGGCTCCTTGCATGCACCACTTCCTCTTTCAAAGATGTCTGCTACAGGCTAATCTGAGTGTTTGTCCTGTGTCACTCCTGCCCTTCAAATTCCCGTATTTCTAATGTTTGGACATCCAGGGCCTGACTGATCCGGGAGAGATAGCCCTCCCAAAGTCAGCCAATGCTTAGAGATGGTGAATGCGTTGCCTGGAAGCACTGCTGCTGTGCAAACAAAACCCTCCGTTTACACCCTGCATTTTCTCTGTGGCCTCTGCACTCCCGAGTTACCTTTCTCTGTTTTAATCCTCCCAGGGCTAAATGCCAGAAAGCTTTGAATAGCTGCAACTCTATAGGACCATTAAAATGACCCAAAGGAGCCCATCCGAAGCCTGCTGATTGGCCCTGGAGCCGCCCTGGGTGGTCGTGGTAGCCACAGCATGTCCCCTGCACTCAGAAGCTGTGACAGAATGTCCTCCCTGGGGTGACTATCTCCTGATCTCTTGGCCTCACCATCTCTGAATGATGATAGAACTTGGAAATCACAACTGACAACTGGACTCTGGAAGTTCAGCTCTCCACCCGCCGGAGCAGGTGGCTGTTTGTAGAACAAACAGGAAATCTGTTGCCTCAGTGGAGACTGCAGCCTCATGGATGTTTGCCTGAGAGGTGGAACAAGAATTTCAAAACCATTCCTTCACTTGTTCATGGCCTTGTAGACAGCTGTATCCTTACTCCCAAAGATCCTTGGTGCAGCAGCAGACATTCCTTTGCTATTCATTTATCCACCGAAGCACAGTGAGTGCTTCAGACTAAGTCGATATTCCTGTATAGCTTTGATTATCATAAAGACCATGAATGAATAAATAAATGTCTAATGTTGTCTCAGTAGTGAAGGATGTAATGGAAGCACACAAGTCCACACTCAGGGCGTGTGACAGTAGGAGGCTGACTTAGGGTAACTGGCCAAGGAGTGAGTCCCAGGGGACACTTTGCAGGAGCTTAGAGAAGAGGCATGTAATTGTGAGGGCAAGAATCTGAGAGAGGAGGCCGTGTTGAGCTGGGTGTCCTGGGTGACATTAAACGTATGCCACTGACTCTGGCATGTAGGGCTGGCCAGTTGGCTGAGGTTAAGGAGCCTGCTTGTTTTTATTTTCTGTCTTATGAATCTTGTGTGAAAGTTCCCAGGAAAGTCTTGTGAACAACATAGAAAGCAAAAAGGCCCATTCATCATAGCCACATCCCCTTCCACTCCCCCTACAGTGTAACCACTGTTGAACATATTATTCAGAATATTTCTGTGCTCATATTAATACAAGGGAGAATTTTGAAAAGTATAGTCGAGGGGTCTGGACCTTGGTGCAGTGGTTTAAGCCACTCTTGCACTCACATCCTGTATTGGAGTTCCAATTTAAGTACCAGCTACTAGATTTGTGGCTCAGCTCCCTGCCAATGCATGTGGAAAGGCATCCGATGATGGCCTATCACTCCCATGTGGGACTGGGATGGAATTCTTGACTTCTAACTAACTCGGTCTAAGCCCTAGCTGTTTGGGACATTCTCTCTCTTTCTCTTTTTCTTTCAAATAAATAAATCTTAATAAACAAACAAACAAACAAACAAACAAAACCTTAAACCAACCAACCAACCAACCAACCAATCGTGGTGCCAGATGGCTCCTGGAGTGCTGCAGGCATAAATGTTTGTGCTGGATGCTTCTCTGAGTGTGCTGCCTGTTGGGAGCTCTGTGGGATGGCACCTGCCTGAGTGGTCAGCTGCCAGAGGCCTGGAGGCTTTAGGATAACCTTCCATCATCTCTGCCTCAAGGCCACCTTGTCAATCATCTCGGTCTGGCTGCTGAGTTTGCACCCAGCAGCAGTTTCCAGGTTGCCTTTGAAGTGACAATCTCTCCAGGGGTGGTGTTTACTATTGTCTCAGGGGGAATGCGTGGTGAGTTGCCACCTGTGAAAGTGGCATGCTTCATTGTCACAGAACAGCAGTAATCGCTTTCTCTTCAGCTTAGGGAACTGTGCAAGGAAAACGCTGTGCTGAAAGGAAGGATTGTAACTCTTGAAGAGACTATAAACGTCCATGAGATGGAGGCAAAAGCTAACAGAGAAACCATCATGAGGCTGGCTTCCGAAGTCAACAGAGAGCAGAAGAAAGCTGCCTCCTGGGCTGAAGAGAGAGACCAGTTGGAGCAGGTACAGCCTGGGAAGGGTGTGTATACCTGTGGTCCTGTGTGTGACGCAGACCGGTGGGGAGGAACTGGGGGACTGAAACGGGCCATTCAATAAACTTTTTTTTTCAATTGGTAAAAAAGAACTTAAAGAGGAGAGGGCTTACTGTGTTTACTCAGATTTAATAAGGCCTTTTAAATTTGAATTTTAAGCAAATAATACATTCACAAAATACAAAACTCTTAAAAATTTTTAAACATTTATTTTTATGTTCTTAAAAGGGGGAGGGGGAAGAGAGAGAAAATGAGAGAGGTGTTCTGTCTGCTGGTTTACCCTTCAAATGCTATCAACAACCAGGGTTGGGCCGAACTGATGCCAGGAGCCCAGAATTGCATCCAGTTTTCCCTTGTAAGTGACAGCGACCCGGTATTTGAACCAACACCCACTGCCTCCTAGGGTGCACAGTACCAGGGTTGGTGGCAGAGAAGTCATGACTCCAACTAGGCACTCTGATTTGAGTTAGAAGTAACGTAAGTGGCTGGCGACTCACCACTGCACTAAATGCTTGCCCAGGCTCGCAGAGTTCCCAGTGTAATGTAGGGTAAGATACAGGGTGCGAGGTTCTTCCCTTCAGTCTCCCCCATAGCCACTGGGTTGTCTTTTGGGAGGTACCTTATGTATGTCCCTAGAGTATGTCTATGGAACACAATACATGTTTTATATATGACATGTATAACCCAAGTGCTAACACATTCTGTGCACACTGTATTTTTCTTCTCTTACAGTATACTTCCATCTGCCAGGCTGCTGTGAATACTCCTGTAATAATTCTTGTGTGTCATGTATCACATAAAGATAAAATCCTAGAAGTAGACTGGTTGGAGCAAAGGAGACAGATATTGTAATTTTGACAGATATTGCCCAAGGGAAGTAACCAAAATATAAATTTTAATTTACAGAGTGAATTGCTTGTTCTTCTAAGATTTGTTTGAACCTGTTTAAGCATGAGAACTAATACTGCAAGTTTAACATTCTGTAATCTTTTTTAAGTTTCTTGACAGATTCATTATGGGATTACTAACAAAGACCCATTTCTCAAAACAGAAATAAGCTAGTGTAATTGACCAATAAAAATATGTTGGAGAAAAATAAATGGCCTGACATAGGAGATGGAAGGAAAAACCCATGAAGTCCCTCGGACTGAAGGGTAGGGTTGACGTGTCCACAAGGGACCATTTTTATTGCAAAGGTAGATTTTACGGAGAGGAGGAAAGATAGAGAGAAAGCTCTTCCATCTACTAGCTCACTCCCCAAATGGCTGCAACATCTGGAGCTGAGCTGATCCAAAGCTAGGAGTCTCTTGTGTGTCTCCCATGTGAGAGGAGGATCCGAAGGCTTTGAGTAGTCCTCTACTGCGTTCCCGGGCCAGCAGCAGGGAGCTGGATGGGAAGTGGAGCAACCAGGACATGAGCCATACCCATATGGAATGCTGGTGCTTGTAGGCAGAGGATTACCTCTGCTGCTTTCCCAGGCCATTAGCAAGGTGCTGGATCAGGAGTGGACTTGATAGGACTTGCTAGGACTTGAACCATTCCTCATATGGGATGCAGCTGTTGTAGGTGATGGTTTTACTCCTTGTGCCACAATGTCACTCCAGCAATATTTATATAGTCATAATTCTATCCTACATACAAGTTGTATGCCAGAAATTATTTGTTAGTTTAATGACAATAAAAATAGCTATGCAAAGGAGTGAATCACTGTTCTCTGCACTTATTTCCACCCCCTCTTCCCTTCTCCTGCCGACCCAGAAGGGAAAACTGAAACATTTATCTCATTCATCTTCTCCCCCCATTCATCCTAATCAGAGACCCACATGATTTTGCAATCCTCTCACCTTTGAAGTAAATATTAAAATATTAAAAAAATAGGTGTTCAGATTTCCTGGATGAGTAGCTTCTAATTGAATTAAAAAATAATGAGAGTGGATTTTATGGTACAATGGATCAAGTGCCACTTAGGACTTCGTCATCCTATGTTGGAGTGCTGGTTCCTACAGAGTGAGAGAGATCACCATACAAGGCACAAATGTACGACTTACAAGAGTGCTTGTTGGCCAATGTTGTGATAGCAGCTTCCACTACACTCCAGCAGCTATTGTGGCCAACTGCTAGAGTCAGGGATTTTAAGCTCTCATCCTCCAATCAGATTGAGAGGCATGCAGTACAAAGACATTTTCATGTGAAATGCAAAACGTTCAATTAACTAAGTGGCAGGAGGCATGAAGGGAGCTGCCGGAGCCCAAAGTCTTGTACAGTTCATCTAAGTAGTGTCATGGGAAGCAGGAGGGATTGAGTGGGCAGAGCCCCTGGAGCTGGTTTTGCGCTGTCAGTTGACTTGAATGTGCACTTGGTGGAAGGGGGTGGGGTGAGGGTGGGGGAGTTGTGAAGCCCCCAGAGCCTGTTTTCAAACATTCAGTTAACTTGAATGGCAGAGCAGGTTAGGAAGGGTGTGGTGTGTGGAATCTCCGTGAAACCTGTTTCCGCGTTGTCTTTGCTGTCAGTCAAGCTGGCAAGCAGGCGCTGTCAACCTGCTACACTCTTACATTTCCAGACCCAGCTGTGCCACTTCCCATCCAGCTTTCTGGAAAGCTCCTGGGAAGGCGGTGGAGGTTGACCCAAGGACTCGGTTTCCTGCCACCCATGTGGGAGAGCTGGCTGGAGTTCCAAGGTCCTGACTTTGGCCTGCCCAAAGCTGTTGTGAGCATTAGGGAGTGAACCAGCAGATGGAACTTTTCTCTGTGTTTCTTCTTGCCTTTCACATAAGGATATCAGTATTTTTTTTGTTAAAAAGTTATGAAATTATTAAAACTTGGAAGTTGGGACAGACTTATTACTTATCTATAAAAATATATCTCCGGAGATTATAGTAGGAAATGAGCAAGAAAATGTATTGTCTTGAAGAACCAGAATTCATTGCTTCTCTTATGTAACCATCTTTACTTGCAAATGACTAATGCAGTGTTGTTCAGCATTTGGGAACACATTCAATTTGGCTGGAGGTTCATGCCAAGATCATAAAACCTGCAAAAAAAATATGGGTAATAAAAAAATCTTGAGGTCTTTAATAAAGCGCTCATTCACAGAGTTGTGACTGCAAAAATTGACTGCTGGAAAACACTGTCAAGTGTTTTTCTGGCCTCCGGGAGAGGCTACAGGATGCTCTCAAAAGCGCGGTTTGAGGTAAGAGACTTGCTCTGTAAGTGCAGTCCAGAAGGACTGTCTAGGTAGAGGGCGTCACAAATTTTGGGTGCTGCTCTTACCAGATCAGGTTTTCTGATTTGCTTGAAGATTCATGATATATAAGATAAGCTTTCTGGATGTGGTGTGTGTGTGTGTGTGTGTGTGTGTGTGTGTGTGTGTGTGCGTACACGTGTGCACATATACAAAATTCTCAGTAAGTAACATAATTAAAGGTTTTCACACATACACACGCACACACACACATCCAGGAAGCTTATCTTATATATCATGGATGCAGTATTTGAAAACCCTCAGTAGTTAGTATTGAAGTACCTTTTAAAAAACTATTTTAAAAAACTTTTAGCAGTTGGTGCATATTCTCTTGGTTGTCTTGAAAAAACAAACAGAACCAAAAACCAAAAAGTAACCGTCTTGTTTACACAAGCCATTCCCTCATTTCTTATAGCTTCTCTCCTTTTAGGCCATCCATGCCATTTGTGATTCCAGCAGCTGGAGTTAAAGCGGGGAAATAATGCTGATTCTAGTCTCAGGCCGTTTGGGTTTGGAATGATGTTCTGTCAGCTTTTCTGGGTGTGTGTCCTGGGGTCTTTATAAGGAAGGAGGTTGAGCAATGCAGGGGGAGAGGCTCAGTAGCCAGGCTTCTGGGTTAGGCCACTTGGAGCTTATCCTGCCTTCTGAATCACTTGGCTGCGTGGTCTCAGACATGTGACTTCTTTGAACTTCATGGGTCTTATGATCTGTAAAATGGGGAAATAATATAACTTTTAATCTCCTGAAGATATTGCAGACTTAGGGGCTGGCGTTATGGTGTAGTGAGTAAAGCCACTGCTTGGGGTCCCTGCTACCCATATGGGAGACCCAGACGAAACTTTGGGCTCCTGGCTTCAACCTGGCTCAGCCCTGGCCATTGCTGTCATCTGAGATGTGAACCATCAGATGGAAGGCCTCTCCCTGGATATATCTCTTCCTTCTGTAACTCTGATTTCCAAACAAATAAACAAAGCCTAAAAAGTTGTTAGGATATAGCTTAGCATGTTTCTATGTATATTCTCATATATGAACTATATTCTGGAGGCTGGTATACTTTGAAGTGAAGATATATTATGGTATGCATCTCTACTCCCAAATAAAAGGAGGACTCCTGGTGAAACAGTTAAAAATACCTTGCCAGTGCGATACAGGATTTTCTACGTTCGCTTATACCTGCAATGCTGTGATACATTTAAATAGCAGAATGTTAAATCTGTAACTAAAAGACTGTACTGCTATGATAATGTGGGGGAAAATGGGAGGGGAAAGTAAGGAGGAGGAAAGGGGAGGGAAAGGGAGAAATTCCTGTGTTTATAAAACTATATCATGGGAAATAATAATAACAATACAAACAAATAAAAAAAGAAAAATTATTGTTCGGATTAAATGATATTTGTTTCTCTCTTGGTATATGTGGGGCATTGGTTGCAGGAACTCCTTGTAGACCAAAGCCCATGTTGCTCAAGTTCCTTATACAAAATACAAAACAGTGTAATTTTTTTGCATAGGATCTACACACAGCCTCCTCTACACTTCACATCATCTCTAGGCTGTTTATTAGCTAACACTGTGCAAATGCTATGTCAATGGCTGTTATTATGTGTTGTTTGGGGGAATAATAACAAGGAAGAAAGCATTCATGTTAAGTACACAAGCTTTTTTAAAAAATCAGATAGGGAGCCCTGATATAATCAATTTCAATATTTTAATTGTATTTTTATTTCTTAGTTG